TCAATGGGACACTGAACCCGGTTTTCAGCAGGTGTAGTTCCCCACCAATAGATGGAGTCGCTCTATCGACAAGCCCTTAATCCTGGTGGGTCTCGTACCACTGCTAGGATAGAGGGATGGCACAAGGGCTTTCAAAAAAAAAAAAGAAAAAAAAAAGGAAGAGGATTGCTCTCTTTTGGTTTTCGATTTTGCCTGGCGCGTCAGCCTTCTTTTTTTTTTTTTTGAAGAAAACATCCTGTGGAAGCCTGCGGTCCTGTGGTGGTAACATAACCAACATGATCGAGGCACCTGTTTATTTTTTCTCATTGAGAACGATTGAGAACCATTGAAGAAATTCAAGAGTCTGAGAACTATTAAGAACTATTAAGAAATATCAAAGGCTGAGAAGATAGGAAAATTTTGAATGACTGAGAAAATTACTATGCCAAACCTTCAGAGGTCCTACAAATGCTCAAAAGCCTGTGTATCCCTAGCAACCTTTCTAAAACTCTCCAAACCTGTCTTACTCCCTGCCGGGCTCTTCCAGGCCTCACACCCCCACCCTGCTGGGTTACAGGGCAAAACGACTCACCCCAGCTCCGGCCAGCGTCGTCCAGCAACCCTTGGTTGTCCCCTTGGAATGCCCACCCCGCACCTGGGTGGATGACTCCAATCTATTGGTGGGGAGTAGCACCTGCTTGAAACCGGGTCCAGCGTCAGTTATAAACAGAATGAGTGTAATGAAGCAACAGAACAATGAGGGGCTCGTTAGACACTCCTTGGTGCGTCTTCAGGGTCGAAGGAAGTTTCGTTTGGGGTTTTGAAGGAAATTCCCGCCGTCTTTCCACCTATCCTTCGGGTGGTCTCCCAGAATGATTCCTTTTGGCCCTGGGCGACGATTTTCATAATATTTTAGTCAGTCGCGGGAGGGGCAATGCCTTGGTCCATTGGGTGATGTCCGTCTTGGTACGGTGTGGTCCAGCTGTCGAATGTGGGGCATTTTGAAAGGCGCTGGTGACGGGAAAAAAAAAAAACCTTAAAAAGCAGTGGACCTTCCTGTTCGAAAATCAAATTTCAAATTGGGTGCTGGACTTCATGACAGCGACGCGGGGCAGGTGGCGTCCATATTGGCAACAGTGGAAACGGGCATTTGCAGCAGCACAGTGGAGTCCTTGTAAGTTGTCACGAATTTGTGAGTGCCCTGCGAAGGTCCATCGTCATCGCCTCTTCCTGCTGCCGCGCCTATGTGTGGAGTCGAGCACACGTGGGGAACGTCGTCGGCGACTTGGTGCTGAGGTTACCGTGGTCGTGGCGAGTTGATACAGCGCACTGACTGAGCGCGGGGTCGGAACTCAAAATTTTGAGCTCCGCTCAATCCCGCGCTTAAAAGCACTTGAGCGAGGTTTGAGCGGGCGCGGGAACAATTGTTTCCCCGGGAAAGAATAAGCAAAAAACAATACAAAAAATCTAGGGTTGTAGATATTTTTGAGATCTACAACCTTATGTTTTTTATTTTAGTTTTAGAAGTATTTCAGACCACATGATATCAGCGATAGATAGGTTCTTCACCCATACTACCCTGACGTTCTTCTTCAGAATGTCGCTGACGAAAGATGGAAACCCAAGCTGCTTAATCTTATTATCACATAATCGTCTAATCCCTGCTAGGCTTAACCGGTCATCAAACTTCACTCTCACAACTAGTCTAGTGTACAAATCAAATTCATACCCTCTCTTGATAGCTACATACAAATATCTCTTCAAAGCTTGCGTAGTTGACTTCTTACCGAACTTCTTCGCTGCAAACAACAAGTCAAATAGAAAATACAGACCCCTAGGGTACAACGTATCACGCTTCTTCAGACTTTTCAAAATTTATGTTAGGAATCCATGTAGTCTATTACTGTGTTTTTTCCATCTCTAAAGATACATAAATCTAATGTCACCTCCGTCTTCCACTATCCTCTTGAATTGTCCAAACTTAAGATGTTTCCCTTTCACTTCGACATCAGAATTGTCAAACACCCCTTTTCACTTTCTTCCATTTATCACACCTGACAACCCCTCCTTCTGATTTCAGAACAAAAGATTGTTTACCGACTTTCTCCTGACAGTTTCCGTAGGATTTTTGCAGTTCCCGAGACTGTACCGTCGATATCAACCCTAATGACATTCAAAACCTTCCCGCGTATTTTTCGTTTCCCCTTTCGTTGCTTCTTCTTACTTCTCTCCTTTCTTCCTTTTCTCCCTTTCCGATGCTTCCTCTTCTGTTTCTTCGAAGTCTGACCTTTCGAATTGAGACTCAGACACCAAGTACGGATATACAGGGTCTCTAGGTTAATCAGATTCTTCACATCCGTGCATCTCACCAAAATTAGCACATAACTCTTTGATCCAAAGTAGCTCACTCAACGGTGAAAGTGCGTAGCCGTGTTATTTCTACACTCTTCTTTTCGTTTGTGTTCTCCCCAGCGTACATCTAGACACCTCTCGGTCTTCCCAATGTAAGTGGCTTTGCACCACGAGGAAACACCCGCGTATACGCAGCAACTCGGATTATCGAAAGCATCCGAATCAGCGGCAAGCAATGTAGCACAATCCCTAACATACTTGTTAAGCCATGGTATCCCACTTCTTAGTGTTAACGTCACTACAGACCATCTAAACACTGTCAGTGCCTCCACATCACCCTGCACACTAGAGTTCTTACCTCGTAGGTTTGCCAAGCGTCTACAACGTTCATACAAGACCTCACGAGTCACGACTCAGGCCAACTTCTCCTTCCCTGACAGTTTGGACGCATCAGAGTCTTCCGAATCACTATTTTTCTTGGACGATGATGCAGAAGTGACCGCTGAAGCCTTACCCTTCGTGAATTGCACGTACATTGGTGCTATCTCTGTGTTCTAACTGAAGCTTGCCCTTTGCGCACGTAGGTAATCAATGCGCTCTTGCACATCTTCTGAGTTTCGCGGTAATCGACGCCTTCCAAGTATTTCACTGTATCGTCTCTGAATTGTTCCCTCGCTCCTGGTCCATTACATGCAATCGCACCTTTCCGGCCTGGGATGTTCCTCGCCCTCATATTCTTCATTGTTTCCGGTTTGAGTGTCGTCTTCATTTTCTTGCTTGACAGTGGTGGTCTTCCTCGTCCTGGTCTATGCACCAAAGGGGTGTTGGCTGGACTTGATTCCTCCTCTTCTGTAATAAAAGTATGTTTACATTTATCGGCTAGCGTAAGTCGTCCAGTTTGGAGACTGATTTCAAACACTTTTTCTTCAGTTGACGAGTATGCCTCTTCATGGTTTCGGTGATGTTTCTGAGCTCATCTCTGTTTTCTGCGTCATCTTCTCCGACTGCTCATTTCCGGGGATTAGAAAACTTATTTTTCGTCGTCTTCCTGCTTGTCATCCCACTGCTTGGAAAATTGCATATTCACCAGTCATACTAAGCACTCGTCATTTTCCTCTCTTTCTCTCCAGCGCTTCTCTTCTTTCTCCAACCTTTGTTTCTCTTTCGCCTTTCTTTCCTTCTTCAGTTTCTCTCTTTCCTCTTTATCACGCTTCCTCTGCTACTTTGCTTCTTCCTTGGCTACCAACAGGGTAACCAGATCCTTGACACTATCGGGGCATCGGTCTTGCGAGCAGGAGTCTGCTGATGACGACCTCCTAACTGGTTCCCACAGTCAAGTTGGCGATGCCGATCTACCTCTAAATCACGGGTTATATCCAGATCCTTCTGGTACCTTGGCCTCCAAGGCTTCATACCGGTCTTTCCAATGTTGTCAGCGGTCGAGGGCTTAGTGCCCCGGTTGCTTGCAACTGTAACATGTTGGAGGTCCTCGTCTTGGTGCCTCTCCACTTCTGGATCCGCTTCCTCCTTGTTGACTTGTTGATGCCATATCTTCCCTTGCGACCAGCTGCCTCTTACGCTCTCTTCTCCAACTCCCGTTTTTGTACTCTCTCCTCCATGTGCTTTCTCACGATGACTTGACCACCACACTAAGTATCTTTCCCCCGCAAGTTACCAAGGGCTTCAACATGAGTGAGTAAAACATGCAATCAGAGTTATATCCCGCACAATACAGTCATGCCACGCATAAGTATGCCACACATAATGATCATGCCACATACACTCTAAGACGCATCTGCATTCGACAAAAGCATAAGCATATTGAGGTTGAGACAATCCAAGAGGTCGCAACAATGACTACTCGAGAAACCCTTCTCCTCACCGCCTTTTTCCTTCCTTGAACTACGCCTACTTACCACTTTCCCACTGGGTAAATATCCGGAGCCCTGCCATCGAAAGAGGATGCGTGCATCGACTCCATATTATTTATAGCTATGGTACCTACTTCACACCGACTACTGGACACTAGACTATACCGACTCCTCACAGACCAGAGTGGTTGTCAACGCCCAAACCGTGTCACGGTTCCTCGCGAAGTTTGACAGAGTCATTGCGAATAATCGGTCAGAGAATTTTTTTGTGCGATTGTTTTCGCAGAGTAAGAACCTGGACTGGAATCTGGGACCGAATTATTCTATTCTGGTCAATACGGGTTAGCCACCCAGTAATTGTTGCCTTCTTTGGCTTCCGATAGGTCCTGGATTCGAAGTTTTGTCCTGTCCGGAAGCTGATATCGCCCGAGGTCCAAAGTGTCTCCTCATTTTTAGTTTTTTGAAAACACCCCAAATAGGGGTAACGTTGTTGCACCTGATATTCTCTATCATCTTGCTATTCTCTATCATCAAGAGGGCAGTAATAATAATAATTTATCACAACGATTATTATTATTATTATTATTATTATTATTATTATTATTATTATTATTATTATTATTATTATTATTATTGTTATTAATCTTTCATTTATCCAGTATTGGTTCGATCTTGCTATTCTCTATCATCGCGAGTTGCCAACGGACCTACTCCACGTGGACGAAGGAGGCGGATCGAGGCAACCGATTGCACCTGGAGCTGCAGTACTGCTAGCGATCGTATTCGCCTGCCCAGCAAGGCGCATGTACGCTCGAGGCAGGGGCAGGGGGAGTAACCACTCCTACCAACGTACAAGCACCTGCGCAGCCAATGCAGATGATGACGGTACCAGTTGTGGCGCAGCCAGCTATGCAGATGCAACTGCCCGCGGGCTTTTTTCCATCGGGATATGGGTGGCAGCCATCACCACCACCCCCGAATTGGGGGTATGGACAACGCCAGCCAAGCGTGAACTCCTTCCCGGGACCAGGACAACGGGCTTGGTTCACGAAGGAGCATCTTGAGCTGATCGAGAAATGGAAGTCGAGAGATCTGGTGGAGGAATCGAAGAAGTCTTCATATGGAGAATCGAGTGGCGCGGGATCTGCGAAAGGAAGAGGGAAGAAAGGGGGAGCAAAGGATAACAATGGCGAGAGTGAGTTTAGGATTAAGGCCTTGATTGCGAGCACCTTTGAAAGCTCCTTGAAGAAAATTGCGGACAAACTGGAGGACGTGGATCAGAAAGCATCAGTGGTTCTGGACGTGAAAGGAAAGAAGAAGATCAAAGAGGAGCAGTGTGATGATGGAGGAAGTAGCGAGAAGCGAAAGCGAGAATTCGGCTCACCTTTGATTGCAAAACCAAGGTCGAAGTCGAGATCGAAAAGTGCTGGCAGAAAAGTGAAGATCCGCCCTTTGCCAATCAATATCTCCGATGATAAAGATACTCGGGGCAACATGGAAGAGGTTGGGAACGCAGCAGAGGACGCCAAGATGGACGAGATTAAGGATATGCTACAAACCTTGATGAAGGGAATCGGCGCTAATTCTACCGAGAAGAAGAGCAACACGATCGAAGCAGCAACGGTGGTCCAGAACGCTGACAAGGTGTTGATCGATGAAGAGGATTGGAGAGAGAAAGGCAAAGAAACAGACTCGCAGAACGAAGTGGTGCAGTACATGAGGTGCAGACTGGACAACTACATGACAAAAAATTACAAGGAGATCAAGGCGTTGTGCAAGAGTCGGGATGTGAGATGTGCGCGGAAAGATAAAGGAGTCTGGGAACTAGCCAAGCAAGCCACGGACCAGTTGACGAAGCTGGTTAACAATTCAGGGAACTAGGCATATCTAAGCGTAGTTTGACATGCCTCCTCGAGAAACTGAGCATTTGGCTCAAGGAGACATGCTGCAAGGACAGCACACTGATTCGAGGAGTGGAAACAGTTTTTAGAGGATTTGTCATTTATGCATGCCTACGGTTTTTTTTTAGCTGGGGACGAACTTTCGTGCAGTACAGGCGCGGGATGACTGATAGTGATCTACAAAATATCTGTAGTGCTGAGTCATGCGTATATGTACTGATTTCACTCTTCTTTAAGCAAACGTATGTCGGACAAACAACACCCATTTCGTCAAAACGGACGTATTATATTTTTTGAACGAAATCAAAACTGACTTCTTTTGCCAAAATCCGGTCGGAATTTTTTGCTCCTGGGGGTTCGGCGTTCCCAAAACGCCGGAACCCCTACATGTATCTGGTCTATTGTTGAGACGAGATACAATTTTTTTTTTTTTTTTTTTTTTAATCTGGTCTCAACCATAGACCAGATACATGTAGGGGGYCCGGCGTTTTGGGAACRCCGGACCCCTAGGAGCAAAAAATTCCAACCGGATTTTGGCAAAAAAAATCAGTTTTGATTTCGTTCAAAAAATATAATATGTCCGTTTTGACGAAATGACTGTTAAACTGGGCGTAGCTTGCCGGAACGGTGGAGGGAACACAAGATGGGTGCTAATAAGCGTTCGACGTGTAAAGTGCATAAATGGCTTAGGAAGAAGCACACTTCATCCTATATCCCGATTCCGCTATGGTTTGGTGCTAAGTCCGATCTGCTACGTAGAGAGAGAATGGTGATTGAGAGTGAGAACCCATGTCTAAATGTGAAGCGGCAGAAGTGCAGGAAGAGACTGAGAAGATCCAGAAAGAAAAGGCATCGAACAACTGGAAAACGATTCTGTGAATATACCTCTGGTTTTCTGAACGAATGGCAGTGAACCGACTATGAATCTAATGACGATTCTGAATCGCGCGAAGGGTAAATCGAGACCCTTGGCCATTAGTAACGATCCAGGGGACAGATGGGCAAATGGTTGGAGGGTCATATCGTCGGTATATGGGGATAGCAAAATCACAACTGGAGATGAACGTATGTTGTTGAAGGATGCAAAAGGATGAATTGAAAAGGGTGGGGAATGGGTTTTGGATTGCCTCGTGAAGAGTAAGTCTAAAGCGGACTGCAAGAAGTCTGAAATCCTGTCACTACTGAGGGCTCCTTGGAAAAGGAAAGAATTGCGGAATAAAGAGAGCTCTGAGTTGTATGATATGCTGAAGGGGATAAAAGTCATTGACACGAAGAAAGGGAGGCAAATCGTTAGAGGAATTATTAGCAGGGACTTGAAAAGGAGGATTGGGATTAATCCGAGAATAAGATTGGTGACGAAAATTTTATTTTGCGAATCTATAGACAAGAAAGAAGTACGGAAGGGAACTTTGTGATTGGATACGGAAGGAAGTACCTGATACTAACTTGGTGGACCTGCTGCAGAACAAGTTGAGGGTGATCTGGAAGAAAGCCAGGTCAGTCGCAGACTTGCTGCATAACCATAAACACTACGTCAAGAAAGAGGGCGCATGTTGTTGTGGGGATTATGACTTGCCACAAACCAATGGGCATGGTCGGGTCCGACTAAGTGATGTACCTCAGGTTCGATCCTTCCTATTCAATTCCAGGAATGTCCCGCACCCGGGGATAATGGATGATCTATCTGAGATTGTTGCAGCATATGAACTGGCGGTTGAACCCTTGAGAAAGATTGGTCTTTGTATGGATCGGCGACGACTCAATCCTACAAAGATACACAGGGCCGACCCACCTATTGACCCTGAATGTGTTCTTGTTGAATATGTGAAAGGGATCAAGGGTGCTTTTGATGGACTTGTCCTATCACCTGTAGATCGAAACACTTGGGAAACCTTGATTGAATGTCCAGTGTTGTACAACTTGGGCATGAGGAAGATGTTTAATGACAACCCCAAATATCAGAAACGTATGAGGAAAGAGGAAGAAATCCTACAAGAGATGAAGAAAGAGTACAGAAACAAGAAACTGGATCGCATCGCAGGATCATGGAACAAAGATGGTCTAATTCAGCACGGGTTCATCTTGAGCAAAGATAAGGATCTTGAGAAAAAACGCCCCATATGTCCATCGTTTGCAAGCCCGATCAGGTCGGCAGCAAGAACGTTGACGAAAGTCCTCAACCTGCTCATAAGAACGTCACGGTTGGAACATTTCAATGTGGGGGCGACAATTAAACTAAAAAACGGAATTGAATCGATGAACAAAAATGTGAGAAAGACAGGGAACGATTGCTCGATTTTGCTCAGAACCTATGATGTGAAAGAAATGTTCACTATGATACCACACGGGGAGGTTGTAAAAGCAGTGGATTGGATTTTTTGTGAACAAAAGGAGAAAGGTCGACACTGGGCAAGAGTAAAGATCAGCGGAAAATGAGCTAGAATCGGGAAGTCTGCTGGAGAAGGAGGGTGGAAGTTTGTTCGCTTCTCTTATCTCAGGAGCCTTATTGTATTCTTGCTCGACAACTGTTTTTTCAAATCATTGGATGAGATCCTACAACAGACTAAGGGCATACCAATGGGGGGGCACGCTAGCCCCTCTCTTGCTTGCCTTGTATGCATGAGAGGAGAACACAACTTCTTGGAGACTCTGGGATCACAAAAGAAGCTGATAATGGGCCAGATGTTCATGGATGATTTGTTGCTAGTTACCTGGTACAGGGATACCCCTGATGCTCGTAAAAAAGCAGAGACCAGGCTGGATGGGATTAAGGACTGTTATCACAAAGACTTGATTCTGGAAAGGACTGATGGAGGGAACAATGTTGCGGAATTTTTGGAGACAAAAATCATCGTAATTGAAAATCCTGTTAAGGTAATATCAACACACAAATTCAAAAATGGTGAAAGCATCTGGGAAGGAAATGAACCGAGATACAAAACAACTAAGCAATTCATATCCTTTGGGGCTGCTGAGCAAAAAATCGCCAATATCATCGGAACGATATATAGGATAAAAAACAATACTAGCTCCGATGCTCTACTGTTCGTTTTCCTCATGACCTTGCACAGGGAGCCGAGCTTGTATCCAAGCATATATTTTGTGACGAGTCTGAGACGGGTTGCAGAAAGGGAGGGAGGGAGGGTCTGGCCAGTTATGACTTCACTATTCGGGAAACTGTACCTGTGAAGACTATGCCTGTGAAAAGTCATCTGGGTTCACGTGGAAAAGGGTCTTGGGAGGCTGCCTGGTACCAGGCCTCCAGCCGAGTCACCAAGCCACCCAGGAAGGAATATGACAGCAGCTGTATCTTGGACCAAGTAACGTCGATTCGATATCCGACACCCGGACGAAGGGAGTACCGCAGGAATGGCCGAGTAGGCTAACACGTTGTTGCCTATGACGAGTACCAGGCCTCCAGCCAGAGTACCGAGCCGCCCTGGAAGGAGAATACGACAGGCTGTATCGTGGACCAGGGATGCAGAAGGGGTAATCTCGATTCGATATCCGACGCCCGGACAGATGGAGTATCGCAGGAATGGCCGAGTTGGCTACTCGACGGAAGTGATGACGAAAGCAAGGTCACACGTTTGCATTGGTTTATTTATTTATTTATTTATTTATTTATTTTATTTTATTTTATTATATTATTTATTTATTTATTTCATTTAAGTAATGGAGTGGAGCTTAGGAAATGAAAGTAGTATATATATTCGCGAGAAGCAACAGTCTGCCACGGCTTGAGCAGAGGAGTAGAAGGGCTGTGATGGACGAGTGTCTCCACGTCCATACTTTGATGTGGTTGATCTGTGAGATGTAAGACTCCGACTACAATATTTGAGTATAATATAACAGTAGCCTGGGCTGTATGGTGGCAGAGGTGCACCCTTGAAATGGAAGGGGTTCAGCTAGAAGGGGCGGAGGTTGTAAATTTAATCAAGGAGAAGGTACAGAGGGGCACTACAGTCCAACTGGAAAAAGATGAAGCAAAGATAAAGTTTTTACATAATTGCAAACAAGAAATCCAACAACATATCAAACACTTCAGCAAAGACTGGCACCAGGGAACCCAAGGGGCCTGGATTGCAAGAGTGGAATGGAGGGAGAGGGGACTCTGAGGGGGGATCCGGAAGAACTGGGAGAGGGAGACAGGGATTATTATATCAAGTTTAGAGACTGGACAAGCATTGGCCCCTCTATCCCACTCAGACCCCCCTTCTCAATTCCCCGAGCTCTTCCCAACCCCACCACTATCCCTGGTAGAAATGCAGTCACTGTGGTGAGGTGGAAGGTAGCAGTCTCAACGTGTGTCAAATGCATTTCAATATTCCGAGTCCTCAACATTCTGGGTCGGGGAGCATCTGCTAGTAAGGAATGATCATAGCTGGTGGCTTGATATCGAAATGCAGGCTGAAGAGGCAGATGTCCTCCCAGAGAAGAGACAGGGGGATAGCAGTAGAAGTTTTCTGCAGTGGTCTGCTTTTTGCCTGCATGTGGTCAGTTATCTGCCTGCAAGCTCCTGCAACTTTATCTCTGTCAGATACCAAGCATCAATCTTGAGGACGCTGGAACTGTTTTTCAGCAGCTGACACTCCCCACTACATGGATGAAGGGGCTGATAACAGGGCTACTTGAAGGGAGGCTCCTATCCCCCTCCCAAAGTGTTCTTTTTTTTTTTTTTTTTTTTTTTTTGAACTTCGCATATGGGAAACCTACTTAACGAGGTGATAAGAGCATCCCCGTTAAACCACCAGTACCTGACCCAGCTATCGAGTCCGAGCCTCGGCCGACCGGTACGCCGATCCGTGCCGAGGCTCGGACTACCGGGCGCAGGCATCCCGAACGTTGAAGTGAAAGGCACGAAAAAAACGGGGAAAAAAAAAGAAAAAACAAAAAAGGAAATAAGAAAAACGAACGGGATCTGAATGAATCTTCCCGCTTTGGCAGATAAATAGATAGATAGATAGATAGATAGATAGATAGATAGAGAGAGAGAGAGAGAGAGAGAGAGAGAGAGAGAGAGAGAGAGAGA